CTCAGACCAGCAGTGTTTTCCAGTACTGATATTCAGTCTGCTAACAGTAATTTCGCAGTCTGTTAGAATAACTAAGTTAGATGTTTAGATGAAGACTCTTTTCTCATTTTCACTCGCCACCTTGCAGTTTTTCCTGCGCTGCAAAGACTTGTTCTTTTTCATACCTTTTTCTCCATCTTTCTCAGTCTTCCTCTCTCCGTCATTACGCGGTCATCGTAAAAAACCTTTGACAGTCTGTCAGTGAATTATTTGACTGGAGGGGCAGACAGCATAGCTCAGCTGTCACCTCCTGTAGGGATGTTTCCCATCAGCCGAGACCCCCTGCTATTATTCCATTCCCCAAGTCCCAGCACTCCGACTGCACTCAGAAGCAAAGTACCGGCCCTCAGCTCCTTCCTCTCACCCTTTTCTCTTACAAAACATACTGGAGCCGTACCATGGTGTAGCAGAATTTTGAGTAACACTTAAATTAAGGAATACGTATTCACTAGTAACTAAGAGTTCCCTTTCATGGGAACTTCGAACTGCGTCCTCTAGGGGTCGCTATGGGGAACGCCTCGTCGTGACCCGTGTCTGAAGCATACATTGAAAAAACACCAACTCGTTGGCCGGCGACAGCCATGACGTCACTACCGGTGCGACTCCAGTATACCTTTTTCTCCATCTTTCTCAGTCTTCCTCTCTCCGTCATTACGCGGTCATCGTAAAAAACCTTTGACAGTCTGTCAGTGAATTATTTGACTGGAGGGGCAGACAGCATAGCTCAGCTGTCACCTCCTGTAGGGATGTTTCCCATCAGCCGAGACCCCCTGCTATTATTCCATTCCCCAAGTCCCAGCACTCCGACTGCACTCAGAAGCAAAGTACCGGCCCTCAGCTCCTTCCTCTCACCCTTTTCTCTTACAAAACATACTGGAGCCGTACCATGGTGTAGCAGAATTTTGAGTAACACTTAAATTAAGGAATACGTATTCACTAGTAACTAAGAGTTTTCCCTCAATAAACTCTTAATGTTCATGAAAAAAGTCTCTCATGCGCACCAAGGCTACAGTTATTTGATCAAGAATACTATAAAAACAATAATATTATTTTTGTTGTAATATTATTACAATGAAATCTTTTTGTGGAAGCAATTTAATATTAATGTGGAAACAATAATGATTTAAAAATTATGTGGTGAATAAAAAGTTCAAAAGAACAGCTTCAATTTGAATTCTAAATCTTTTTTTACCTTATAAATGTCTACTGTCAATAATAATAAATAAAATAAAAAAATCTTGCTTACCCCAAACTTTTGAACAGTAGGGTAATATTACCATCTGACACCATCGGTGTACCATGGTACTGCCATGGTACTTTTTTGTAAGTGATCTCTTACTAATACCATGGTACAGAATAAGTACCCTATTCATATTTCATGGTATTTACTTGATATTCTAAGGTATTTCTAGAACACCATGCCATAAAAAAAGTTAAAACCATGGTACTTTTTAATTAGTAGCCTCTTTTTGCCTTCCCTCCCTGTTTTTGTAGCTTGTATGCCTCCCTCCATTCATCTGCATGGAAAGTCCTCATAAAACTCGAACACTATTATTTTCACCCACTTTTACAGTGGCCAGCAGTGTTTGACCCTGCATGTCTGATAGCAGTCTGTGACAGACAGATGGTCCGCTCACATATGGACCCCTCTCCGCCTCGCTGTGTCAATCCACCCCCTGCTTCAATGCCACAATCAGATGGGATAAACCGTCACTGACAGCGAGGTCACATGTTAGTGGCTGCCCTTTTCCACTGCATTGACGGTTAATTTTTCAGTGTCAACATTGTGAGTCGAGGGCGTTGTTGTGTTTGCATTTATCAGCGTTGGATGTATTTGAGCAACTCGTATGGGTTTTGATTTGCCGTGAGCCAAATTGATATGTGCAGTGTTGCCAAGGGGATTTTTAATATTTCTGAAGAGTGCCAATGATAAAGGCATAGTGAGTTATAAAATAAAGCTAGGAGAGAGACTGCCTGTATTGCTTTTTCAAAATGCATTTTCTGATTGATTTGTTAGTGGTGTTTGCTAAGACGAGCTTCATTACTGTTGTTAGGGTCAGTCATTTAATAAAACCCCTAACCATCCCACATGCAAATGATACCTCAAATCATGCTTCTTGTTGAGGAGAGGTGTGCTTTTACTTGTCTAAGTGATCAGACTTACGATTTTCACCTGGCGGAGGTTGCATCCCATAGACTTGCATTGAAGGAGGGGCTGGGGGCATATCTAGGAGTCAGAATATCTTATGCTGCATTCACGCCATTTTGTAATTACCGTAATTTCGAGATGACACCACGTGACGTTCTACTCTGAGCTGTTGGAATTATGCTTTTCTATGGCAACACTATCAACGCCTAAACAGAGCCTGCGGTGGTCAGGTGGTACAGCGGTCACATGGTACAAGTCGTAGCTCTCAGAAAACTCCCAGTTCACAAGTTGTAATTACGAGTTCTACGAGGACGTGAATGCTTTTACAAGTTGGAATCTCGTAATTACGGGAATTCCGATATGGCGTGAACGCACCTATAGACTCCATGCTTGAGTCTTTTGACTTGGGCCAGTGCGAACCCACCTAGCAATCACCCAGAATACCGCAGCAACATTTCATACTGATTCATACTGGCTATATCATCAACTTTTATTCCAGTGCATTACTTTTATAATGACATCTAATAAAACAAAAACGTCAAAAAACAAGTATTTACCATGTTAACAAACAATTTTTTGTCTGTGTTGTCACGTCTCTGGGTAGCAACATTCTGAATTTTGCTACCAGTATCAGTTGGCAGATTAATTTGAATTATTTATTCAGCATACAGCAAAGTGATGTTGAGTGGTGCAAAAATAAAGCAAATAAAAAAAAAATCAGCAGTGAATTTTGAGAACTGCGTGTTTGTGAACATTTGAAGGGTTTATTTAGTACTAGGCTGTCATTCAGCAGATGATTTTATCTAATGAAACTTGTAGTGCACTTATTAGGGTAGAAGCACACTCTGGGCATGTGCACGTGCACAGGTGTGAATGCTCAGACAGTGCATTGCAAGTGCAACTTAAAGGGATAGTCCACCCAAAAAGGAAAATTCTGTTATCGTTTTCTCACTGTCATGTTGTTCCAAACTCATTAAACTTTGGTTAATCTTCAAAATACGAATTCATATATTTTAGAAGATACCTGAGAGCTTTCTGTCCCTCCATCAAAAGTCCAGGTGTTGTAAAATGAATCAATATGATCAAAGTCTGGTGAAGAGATATTATTGCTTTATATGATGAACAGGTTTAGGCTTTAGGCTTTTATTGTAATCTAAACAGTGATTGACATATAAATAGAGAGCATGTTTTAGGTTCTGTGTTTACCATACATGATGCCTCTATGTACTGTATGTGTCTATATATGAATAAACTAGTGCTGTCAAATGATTAATCGCGATTAATCGCATTCAATAAAAATTTTTGTTCACATAATATATGTGTACCGTGTATATTTATTATGTATATATAAATACGAACGCATGCATTTATTTATTTAAGAAAAATATGTAATGTTTATATTTTAAATATATTTATATATCATATAGCCTAAATTATGTGAATATAAACATATACATGTAAATATTTTCAAAATATATGCTGTATGTGTGTGCTTTTATATATACATAATAAATATACACAGCACACAAACATATATTATGTAAACAAAAACTTTTCTTTTGGATGCGATTAATCGCGATTAATCGTTTGGCAGCACTAGAACAAACACATAAAATAAATCTGTTCATCATATAAAGCAAATGTTGTCTCACGACTTGGATTAAACTGCTTGATTCATATGGATTTTTATGACACCTTTATGACCTTTTAGGATCTTCTAAGGTTCGGTTACCTGGACTTTCAATGGAGTGACAGAAACCTCTCAGGTTTTATTAGGTTTAGAACAGCATGAAGGGGAATAAATAATGACAGGATTTTCATTTTTTGCATTCTTGCATTGCTGCGTTGTTATTATCGGTTTATCTTTTCAGTAAGATTCTTGTCAAACAGTTGCTCTACCATGACATTAGTAGTTTACGTAAAAGAGAAAAATGAGCACAGAAGAAAATAATTTATGCTATAGAGCCTCCTGTGGCAATGCTGAGATGATGTACTTCTGACACTCTTTTCAGATGTATAATACAGCTGCTATACAATATCACTTTCTGAAATATTGCTATTAGCAAAACCTTTCAAGGCCCTGTGATGTGTAGGCATTACTGTTTATGTGCCTGCTGAGATGAGGTGCACAAGGACAGCAGATCTAATCAAAACAAGTGGCTGTTGTAAACATGCTCACAGAAACACATGGTAGCATCTGGCTTCCTGTCTCAGAGCTCTAAACTTCCATGCAGACTTCACACCGAAATCTGCCGACTAATTAACACCTGTCACGCCACACGTGCCATTCGGAGAATGCAAGTGAGAATTTTATCATCATAACTGGCATTCCAAAGGCAGCCATACCAAAATGCTTTTGAATAGAATAGAATAGGAAAATGTGTTGCTATCTAAATTAGCAGTTTTATTCATATAATGTTAAATATGACTCAAAAAAACATGACTACATTGGGTTATACCATCAAAAGTCATTTTTTAAGGATCAAATCAGGGGTTTTTTCAGGTCAAGTTTTATGACCTTAAATGTCTTTAAATTGACTGTAGTGACTTTACATGCATAGGAAAACTGAACTATAATGTTAGCTTCTCTCTGTTTTGGCCTTAGCACTGCATTTGGGAACCCTTCACTATCATTAGAAATGTTGTTATATAATTAACTGTTTCTTAATGTCATGCACCTCGTGATGAAAATAACCCGCACTTCATTGTGTTGCAATTACTAAGATCACTGTAGCTTGACAAAAACAATGTTCTTCAATACAGTGTCGTTTTGACGTTTAATTAAAACACAAACTTTCCTCTCCTCTTCTAGGAAACCAAAATCAACTGTGTGCGACTGGCTACCAAAGGTATGAGAATTGTTTCACTTATTTTTTAGCTTGTATGAATGAAACATGTTATTATTAATTACTATTGATTTATTAGTTTATTTATTTGCCTGTCCCTTTGTATATCCAGATGAGACTTGCTTTGGAAAAGTTCTTTGGCTGGGTTGATATTTGGATAGTTTTGTCCTATTTAAGTCCCTGTAGCTAAACACAGTCAATCAATAAAATTAAATGAAATAATGTTTTGGTTGGAATTAAGCAGATGTAATATTAGAAATGTCATGTCCTCTGTATTCTTAATAGACCTTTGATTTTATAGTGGAACCCATTACTAAACATGATGAGGTACAAAAAAAGAAAGAAAAAAAAAAGGACGAAGCCTTTTCATTTAAGTTGTACATTCAGACAAAGCTCAGTTGCATCAGACTGAGATTAGTGCTTTTGGTTTCATTGAAAAATCTGAAATCCCATTTTATTTTACCTGCATGATTATTTGCCTCTGGCCAACAATTCTTTTCAGTTTCTTTTGCTCCATTTCATTTCCCCTTCTCTCCGTAAAAAGACCATTTTACATAATCACTTCCAGGAACAGAGCAATCACAAGAGACTTTCTATTATTTAATGGACATCACAGATAAAGAGACACTATAGCCGTGCAGCGCTACAGACTCATCATGTTTTTTTTTCCTTCCCCATTCTTTCTTTTCGAGTTTTCTTTCATTCCTTTTGGCTTTTCTCCATCTAATTCAATAAGCTTGCTTTTGCACACACCTGTTTGTTTGTTTGTTTTGCTGAACTCATTTTATTTTGCTCCATGTCAGGCTTTTTTTTCCTATTCTTTTGGTCATGGCCTGTTTTCCTTTCATATCCCAGATAGATCCGTCCTGAGTTGGGTTCTTATTATGATTGTAAAAACCAATTACTTTTGTGTTTCTGCTTTAGAAACACATGCTTTACACTTTGTGATGCCTTGGATACAGACATTTGAGAGTTTCAACCTTTCCTTGCCTTCTTAATGTTGGTGTTTTTAATAGTTTTAGATTACGGGGTGAATTCACTAAACGTTTTTTTGAGAATGAAATAGTGCTACACTGTATTTAATTGCCATTCATTTGAATGCAAACACGTCTCTTTTCTATGTGCACTAGACTGATTTAAGGTTACGCCTTGTTCGTAAAACCCAGCTCTGTGTTCTGAAATAACATTAAGTTATGTTTGCCTAGATGTTTTGGTTATCAAAGAGTGTAGTTTCTGTATTTTAAATAACTCATTCAAGGAATAGTTCACCCAAAAATGGAAATGTACACGTCATCTAAGATACAGATGAGTTTGTTTGTTTGTTTGTTTGTTGGAACAAATTTAGAGAAATGTAGCATTACAGCACTTGTTCATCAGTGGATGCTCTGCAGTGAATGGGTACCGTCAGAATGAGAGTCCAAACAGCTGATAAAAACATCACAGCAATCCACAAGTATTCCACACCACTCCAGTCCATCAGTTAATGTTGTGTTTTTTGCAAACATGCATCTTTTCACCTTACAAGATATTAATTGATGGACATTTCTCCAAATCTCTCATTATGAACCTGGGATGGCCTGAGTGTGCGTACGTTTTCAGCAAATTCTAATTTTTGGGTGAACTATTTCTTTCAGGTGTTTGGATTGCAGTGGTAGAACATGCAAATTTTCTAGTGTCATTAGCACAGTTACCTAATTTGGATAATTCCTTTATTAAATCGGTTGATAAAACAATGCAATTGCATATACATGACCGCAGACGCAATTCAGTCTTAGTGAATTCCCCCCGTATTTTTTTTTTTCAATTCAATTGGAGACTCAGAATAGAACAATTTTTCAAAGCAACATAAGGCCTCAACTTGTAAAATATTTGCATTAATATGAAAAATATCTATTTATAATATTTTCTATAACTCTTATGCTTACTCTGTCAGTTCCACTAGAACCTACCTGTTTCAGTTTCCTTTCCAGCCAAATGTTACTCACTCGAAGGAAGCTCAGATGATTGAGTTGAAAGCATAATTCTTTAGACTATTTTTTCTTTCCTTCTTTTCTCTCATGCATGCCGGCCTGGAACGTAAAACCTTGTGTTAGTGGTAATAGGTAGGGGACAAAATACCACGCCCTACATACTTGTCATTCCCAGTGAAGGTGAATATTATACCATAGTCAAACTTTTCTTTCTTCTTTGTTCTTTCCACCCATCCACATTTCTTCTGCTGTTGTTTCCTTCTCTACTTTATTATTTTTATTCAGTCTTTTTTTTTCAAATCTTGTTCCTTTATTCTGCTTTTCTCCATCGGCATCTTAATGCATTTTTGCATGTCTGGTTCACTAAAAAGTTTAGCTGGTTCTCATTGACTCCATTGACACTATTGTAATTTGGGACCCTGAGAATGTACAGTGCCGCCCACTTGTCTTAAATGATCTTATTATTATTAATATTTCATTGTTTAAAAACAACAGATATCCCCTCTCTAGGATAGTTTTGCTCATGACCTTGTTATGCTCTGAAAAATGGAATCCATAATTAATATCAGTTATCCTCTTTTAAAGAAAATTGCCTACTTAGAAATGGCATAATCTTGCTTTAAATGATCTGAAAAAATCCTTATGTATTTCTTATTGATAAAAAAAATTATATGTATTTTAATTTTATGTATAAATGTTATATTATTTATTTATTTTTACTTTAGCTCTATAACCCTTCTATTGTTCTGGAGTGAATGCATTCATTTTTGTTTTACTCAGACCATTACTTAATTACTGTTTGGTTATGCATAAAAATGTTTTACAGTAGAGCTTAATAAGTTTCTGAGCAAAATGTAAGCATAAAGTGATATATGTTGCCTTACCTACAACACTCCGCCCCTTACATGTGCAACTTCACCTAACATGACCCCAGTCATACATTCTGACCCTGCCAGCCTAACCGGTGTGTGTGTGTGTGTGTGTGTGTGTGTGTGTGCGTGCATGTGAGTGTGTTTGCCAGCATGTGTATGTTTGTGTGCGTTTACTATACTAGATATGTATTCCTGTGCATATATGCAATGTGTGTGGAATAATTAAGAGTACTTAATTGTGCTTAATTGTAATGGGAAGAGTACTTAATTGTTATATTTGTTTATTGTATGTTCATATTATTCTTCATTTATTCCTAATATTAATTTAGTATACAGTATTGAAGCAGTTTGCTGTTCTAATCAGATGTCAATCTCTAACACATATGCACACACACATGCACACACAGGTGTCAGTTCTTTAGTTCCAGTGCAGTAAGGTCCACGTTTCATTGCTTCTCCATTTCACTCTACAGTCATATACAATATGTTCAATTGCCCTGACTGAAATTACAAATTGCTTGCACTAAAATATCTCAAATTTCTAAAGGGTCTTGCTGGATATCTGCTTTGCACAGGAGATAGCCGACTTTTAGCCAGCTAGTGAACCATTGCAATGCCTAATCGTCTGAATTATGCAGATTACAGCTTTCGTCATTTACGTTTTAAATGCATATTTTGACATGCAGTTATAAGGATCATAAGTATATTTTAAGAGTTGAATTTGAGTGTACAGTGGCCCCAAAAAGTAATGCACAATGCATGAATGTCATTGCACTAGTTAGCGTATGCATAGTGGGGTTTATTGTAAAGAAAGCTCACAAATACAAAATATTGGACTTTTGCACAGTACTTAACTACAAATTGCATTTAGAAATAACATTATTTAATTGCAGATGTAACTTGGATTGATATTTTGTGATATTTTCATTCTGTGAATTGAAATTCAGATATTTTTAGGTGTGGCTTTTCCAGACACTTTTTTTTGGGCCAGTAATATTCACTATGCAATAAAAAGCACAATCTAGTTGTGTTTGCGGCATTATCTCAACAGTTCCAATAACAAGCAAAAGAAACAAACTAAAGACATCATGCATTATGCATGTGCACTTTGAGCTTGAAATCAATTGTCAGTTTACACAAATACCTTTGTTTCTCAATGCTCCCACCTGGAATTTAACAAAATGCTCAATACCAACAATGCTTAAATATAAACCCAAATACACTTGTGTATTAGAAACAGAAGGATTTTGAGCTAAATGTATTTAAAATCCACCCATTAACCTCTCTGTATTTGCTGAAGGGGGATGCTTTTTTGAGATATTAGCATCATGGGTTGTTTATATGGCTGCCTGATCTTAATCCCAGTCCATTTGAGATTATAATCCTGTTAAGATGCATCCAACGATGCATCTGTAATCCTGTCAGCTGCAGAACAAAGGCAATAGTGATGTCAGCAATGATGTGCACCCGCATAAACCTTTGCGTAATCCCTCGGCCTACAGACCTGCTTTAAATAAAGTTATACAAAAGTGCCATTTCACACGCTAACAGAACCACACAGAGTATCGCAAAATGCCAGCAATTAAAATGGCAAAACTCACCCACTCCAACTCCCCCGTATATGGTAGGGATTACATTTTTATATGATGAGCTTTGATAATAATTCCTCTGATACTTAATTTTACCCCCTCAAAATAAAAGGATTTGCATAGTCGTATATTGTATTGGGCATACAAGCAGGGCTCGTGGGTGAAGGGAAATGTACAGTGCTTCTATAATCAAGGGCAGATTGTTTTTCTGTATTATTTTACATAACATGTTATGGTAAATAAAAAATAGCACAGCTCTTACAGGATCGCTGACCTATGATTGCTAAGATCCTTATGATTCATATGAGTGTAAGAGTCATTAGAACCAATATTATTGTCAAAATTATACCAATACAAGCACTTAGAATCATTTTCTAACCATTTTATTAGGTTGTGGGTGGTACGTATGAAATTAACTGTTGTAAAATCATTATTTAAAGCTGTAGTTTGAACCATTTTTGTTCCAAAGAACTATTCAATGAACATTAAAAGAATAGTTTTTTTCTTTTTAAACATTTAAACAATCTCAAGAATCGTTTTCCACTTTAAAGATCTAAAAAATTCAATTCAAAACGCGTGTTTTCATAGTGATGCCATAAAAGAACCTTTCAGTGAATAGTTCTTAAAAGAACTGTTATTTTCTTAGTGTGAAAAGCATTTTTATAATCTGAGGAATTAATTATGAATTGTAATGGTTCTTCATGGAACTGTAGAAGCCAGTAAAGAGCCTTTATTTGTGACTGCATCAAATAGTCTTTAAGACACATCACCAAAACCATGATTTACTGCTTGCTATTGCTGGTCAAAAGGGAGACATTTTCTTTACAGAGGGCATTTTATTGGACTCAGATTTAAACTGGTCATTTTTGTACCAGTAAATTTTAAGTGTACATACTAAAAACTCATCTGGTCAATTCTTAGGTGTATGCTGCCATATAGAGCTCTATAAGAAGTGATTTTCTCTTCTAAAGGGTCAGTAAAATGAGTCAATTGGTTGGTCAAGATTAATATTGTTGTATTGTCGTGAAGATAGCGCTGTCTTGGAGGTTGATATCAGAAAATAGACTGAAAGAACCCCATCATGGAGTAAGTGTGTGTGTGTGTGAATCATGAACTGTTGAACCCAATCAGATCAGAGCAGACTGGAGGACATGGAGTTCAGTTACTACGTTGATAGAGGAGAACACATAGTCCATCCGCATAGACCGTCCATAGCGCTCCCTTCACTTTCTGACAGCTGTAGATGGAGCCAAAATGTGTTTGGCTGGAAAGCACTCCAAAGACTAGCAAGGTTAGCAGAGATTGGCTCAGTGTTCTTTTCAAAGGTCAAAAGAAACTAAAGTTGTGAATGTTTTCAAAGTCCAGTCTCAGATGTCTTTTAGGGGTTTGCTTATGCCACTTTAGATTGCAAACCCATTGGAAATTAATGACTTCTGATCACTGATGTCATTGGAAATCACTGCCAGCACATATTCATAGTATTTTTTTTTATCATGTTCATATCTGAACGTCCTTAGAACACCTTGATAAGCAAACCTTTTTCATTTCTTGAATCTTGAATACTCCATCGACATTCAAAAATATTCTCGTGTGTGTATGCATATTTACACACATTTTTTGTACTGAAAAACAAGACAAAAATACTGTTTTGTTTTCTCTGAAGGTTTAGCTCTTCAACGTACTGTTCCAGAAATGTCTGTACGTTTAATGTTCGCTTATGCTTAAAAGAACTGTACGGTTTGAGGGAAATAAATAAATCAAATTATTGAGCTTACATGAAAGCAAACCGCCCACATAGAGAGATCAATGCGTTAATATGCAACAGATTGCTAAAGATGTCACACTGGCAGGTTAAAACATTCACTTAAAGGCGAAGTGGAGGTAAATATAACGACATAATTGTTTAATCATTCAACGCAGGGATTACATGCTTTTCTAAGGTTTGTGTATCTGTACATATATTATGCAACTAGGCTATTTATTTATATCTATATGTATTTGAAGTCTATGCAACCTTTCTTCTTCATATCATATCATTATTATATGGTGGAATACGTTTCATTTAGTTCAGGCTTTGAAAATAAAATGCAAGATGATTATGATCTTTTCAATAGTGAAATACAAACAACAAACAGCTGACGCTCTTTCATAGACATAATGGCAATTTCACAGTAGAATTACATGCCTGATGAAGGCAGATGAGCCGTTTGGTGTGGAGCAACGCTAATCTGAACAGTATTTTCTAAAAATCATGCATGGTCGTACACATTTTATACAGATATTACAATAACAATATATTGCATGCAAGTATGCAACACGCATATGCACACAAAGACACACATACATCTGCATGAATCTCTGCCTTCATCCTCTTTTTGTTTCTTGTTTCCATATTTCATGCCTGCATTCCTTGCGTTGAATTGTCTTTTTGGTTTTTTTGCATTCTCTAACCCAGAATCCAAAGGCCCTAAAGTGTTTCATTTCACCACAGTGATCCAGTATTTGAAAAGCTCCTTAAGGTCTTTTTTTTTTTGTCTGTTGCCTGTTAATTAATACCATTCAATAAACGATTCCCCTTTGCCATAAACCCGCCACACAGTAATGATCAATGTCACTTGTGCATTTGTTTTGTCTGAATTTAAATGCATTTAATTAATTTGATTTTGAATGTGTGTGTCTTTCGTTTTCTGTCTTTGGACTGGTTGTATGTATTGTATGAAAGTATGAGAACATGAGATGTGCTTCTGTGTACTTTCTGTTTTTGTTTTCATTTGATTCTTGTGTTCGTTTGTTTTGTGTGTGTCACTGTCGTTGTAGAGCGTTTCTCGACAGCTCTTGTCTTAGTTAAAGGCCCTTTCTCTTCTTTGTGATGTACTTGTTGCTTTAAAGGTGCATCTACCCAGAATGCCAATGACATAGAGCCTGAAAAACAGGTGGACAGCACTGTAAAGATGGCAGGCGTCATTGCGGGAATCCTCATGTTTGTCATCATTCTCCTGGGCGTTCTCCTCACCTTCAAACGCAGGTACTGCTGACATAAACACACACTCATATACACACACACTTAGTTTAATATTACAATGAATAATAGAATTTGAATGTACAGTAGCTGAGGAAAGGTCAAAAGAAACTAAAGTTGTGAATGTTTTCAAAGTCCAGTCTCAGATGTCTTTTAGGGGTTTGCTTATGCCACTTTAGATTGCAAACCCATTGGAAATTAATGACTTCTGATCACTGATGTCATTGGAAATCACTGCCAGCACATATTCATAGTATTTTTTTTTATCATGTTCATATCTGAACGTCCTTAGAACACCTTGATAAGCAAACCTTTTTAATTTCTTGAATCTTGAATACTCCATCGACATTCAAAAATATTCTCGTGTGTGTATGCATATTTACACACATTTTTTGTACTGAAAAACAAGACAAAAATACTGTTTTGTTTTCTCTGAAGGTTTAGCTCTTCAACGTACTGTTCCAGAAATGTCTGTACGTTTAATGTTCGCTTATGCTTAAAAGAACTGTACGGTTTGAGGGAAATAAATAAATCAAATTATTGAGCTTACATGAAAGCAAACCGCCCACATAGAGAGATCAATGCGTTAATATGCAACAGATTGCTAAAGATGTCACACTGGCAGGTTAAAACATTCACTTAAAGGCGAAGTGGAGGTAAATATAACGACATAATTGTTTAATCATTCAACGCAGGGATTACATGCTTTTCTAAGGTTTGTGTATCTGTACATATATTATGCAACTAGGCTATTTATTTATATCTATATGTATTTGAAGTCTATGCAACCTTTCTTCTTCATATCATATCATTATTATATGGTGGAATACGTTTCATTTAGTTCAGGCTTTGAAAATAAAATGCAAGATGATTATGATCTTTTCAATAGTGAAATACAAACAACAAACAGCTGACGCTCTTTCATAGACATAATGGCAATTTCACAGTAGAATTACATGCCTGATGAAGGCAGATGAGCCGTTTGGTGTGGAGAAACGCTAATCTGAACAGTATTTTCTAAAAATCATGCATGGTCGTACACATTTTATACAGATATTACAATAACAATATATTGCATGCAAGTATGCAACACGCATATGCACACAAAGACACACATACATCTGCATGAATCTCTGCCTTCATCCTCTTTTTGTTTCTTGTTTCCATATTTCATGCCTGCATTCCTTGCGTTGAATTGTCTTTTTGGTTTTTTTGCATTCTCTAACCCAGAATCCAAAGGCCCTAAAGTGTTTCATATTTCACCACAGTGATCCAGTATTTGAAAAGCTCCTTAAGGTCTTTTTTTTTTTGTCTGTTGCCTGTTAATTAATACCATTCAATAAACGATTCCCCTTTGCCATAAACCCGCCACACAGTAATGATCAATGTCACTTGTGCATTTGTTTTGTCTGAATTTAAATGCATTTAATTAATTTGATTTTGAATGTGTGTGTCTTTCGTTTTCTGTCTTTGGACTGGTTGTATGTATTGTATGAAAGTGTGAGAACATGAGATGTGCTTCTGTGTACTTTCTGTTTTTGTTTTCATTTGATTCTTGTGTTTGTTTGTTTTGTGTGTGTCACCGTAGAGCCTTTCTCGACAGCTCTTGTCTTAGTTAAAGGCCCTTTCTCTTCTTTGTGATGTACTTGTTGCTTTAAAGGTGCATCTACCCAGAATGCCAATGACATAGAGCCTGAAAAACAGGTGGACAGCACTGTAAAGATGGCAGGCGTCATTGCGGGAATCCTCATGTTTGTCATCATTCTCCTGGGCGTTCTCCTCACCTTCAAACGCAGGTACTGCTGACATAAACACACACTCATATACACACACACTTAGTTTAATATTACAATGAATAATAGAATTTGAATGTACAGTAGCTGAGGCGCTTTTCTTTTCGGAGGAATTTGAGGGTGTTAGTTAGCATTGCTTTAGACATAATCAGCTTTTGTGTCTCCTGGTGAAACATGCACACTGGCTTTCTTTCATTACATCACTTCCTCTCACCAACTTTACCGCCCACCCCCCAACACACCTCCTCATGTCATTGTGCCTTACAAGAGCCCACCTCTTCCCATAGTTTCTCTGCCGTCCCTGCCGCACACCGACATTCACACAGCTCTCGCTCCTCGTAGATCTTTCCTCTAGTGTCTGTATGTAACGGTTTATTTAGTCTAGGCATGAATTACGGGGGTGTTTGTCTGACCTGCTATTTAAGGCTTGAACCCTTTAAATTGAAGCCACAACTAGAGTTTGAGGTAGAAGGGATGGGGTTGAAAAGATCCTATCAGAGACAGAGCGATATATCAGCCATATAATTCCTGCAATTGTGTAAGTGGTAGTTCCCTTGTTACAAAATCTATCTGCAGTCTTGTCTAAACATATAGATATTTAATAATAAACTGTTTCGGCTTTAAAAGTATTTTAGTGAATCTTCAGTAAATGTGTGAAATAAGCATTTAATTTCAGAACTTCTATGCGTGATTCATTTTGCATTATTAAATTACATTATTTATACTATATTGGCATTATATTGGTCTTAGAAATGAATTAATAAGTGAATTTTCTTCAAATATTGTGTGAAATAGGTTTATGCATGTCATATGCATGTCTCGTTTTGCATTATTCAATTGAATAATTAATAATACATGACATTATATTGGTCTTTGGAACTATATATTGGTGATTGGAAATCATTAATGAACTTTCACAGAATTCTTTTTCAAATTTTATGTGAAATTGGTTTATGTGTGTTGTATGCCTCTCTTTTTACATTATTAAATTGAATTATTTATAATATGTTGGCATTAAATAGGCCACTGGTCATATTAAATATAGTATGCTACATTCAAATAGTATACTAGTTTGAGAATGTAAGCAAGTCGCAAGTTATTTATATGTTTTTTTTTCCTTTTCTTTTTCTCGCCAACTGCTTTCTGCTGTATGCTTCACAAACATTCAGACTATTTGCCTGATACAATTAACAATGTACTTTTATTGACCACAGAAAACCTGGAGGTAAAGAGAATTTTATCGTAAAATGTTTTTGTAGATGTTCTAGTGGTCATGACAGCAGTAATTCATCAAATGATGGAGACGAGCATTATAACTAGGCACATATCCAGATGCACATTGTAGTTAAGCACACTTTCTGCATTCCAAAGAGCCAATTTAAGTGTACTGTATATACTAAAGTTGTAATTCCTAGTAAATTATGTCAGAATGGGACAGTCTGCTGCATTTTCCAAAACCAAGCACTCAGAACGAGATGATAAACTGCCCTGTACCTGATTTGAATAATTAATTTAAGTGCTAAAATGAAATACACCATCAGGGTATGCAATCTTTTTCAATAATAATTTGCACATTGTGTAACATTAGATGGACTATAATGAATAACCTATAGATCTCACTCGAACCCCACTGTGAAGCACTATTCCTATTCTTCATGGCATAGTTAGGATTTGCACTCATGCTGCTTTCCTCAAATAGCTGATTAAGTTGACCACGTCTTTATGCATATGAACCTAAAGCTAGGAGTTTTTCATTTGTTTTTTAACCCGTTTGATTGTTCAGAAGGGCAAGGTGATAACCGGGACTTTAGAGTGAACGGCACATTGCCCATACAAGCCACAGTCAGAAATACAATAGTGGTTAAAACCGCCAGCTAAATCAATAAGCTCTAATTACCATGAATTGTAAAGGAGAGCTTGACAGCACCATTGTTAATGCGTCACTGTCTGGAGCAGCGTGAATTGAAACTTAATGATAGATCTCGCTATTAAACGAGCGGGAATCAAAAGGTTAGCCATGAATGGCCTTAGTAGGTGTTCATCTTCCACAGCCGATGGAGGAAGGACGCTTCTGCTATTCATAAGGCAGGAACTTGAGGCTTGAATATTACAATAATAGCTTGTGCTTTTTTGTCATTATTCTGATGTGTGGGAGTCATAGCGACAGAAGTTATATGCAAATACAAGAGTTCCTCAAGTCTGGATTCACACAAATAACTCAGACTGTGGTTGCTTTGAAAACTTTACAGCTATAATGCATGCATTTAGACACCACCGTACTGTAGCATTGTGTTCCCAACTCTAGTAAGCTGCTTCATTGTCTGCAATCTATATAGGCGGCTGCCTTTTAAGACCGTCAGAGTATGTGTTTACATGTTGCTGAGTTAGCAACTCCAAACTCTTAAGAAACACAAAAATACATATTGCATGCACATATTGGATTAAATATTTTTAGTACCTGTGAAAGACTAGAAAATCATGCTGTATTGTGCAAAAGTTGATGTAAATTAGATTTAAATCGTTAGCTCATGAATGTGAATTTGAATTGAATTGGCCATTTTGTTGTTCTATCCTTCTGTCTATCTGTCGTTCAATATCAATCAATCTATAATTTTATCAGTTGTTCTCTCTTTAAGGCCCATAAACCTTCAAAACTTCAAGGCATTTAAAAAAAATCTACATTTTAAAACTAGATTTTGTCAAAACATTCCAAATTTGTCTTGACAACCTTTGCTTTTGTGGTTAAAAATTACAGTTTAAATATAAATGTATTTAATTTAATAAATAAATAATTTATTAATTTTATTTAAATAAAAAAAGATTTTGTGCTTAAAAGTACTGCAAAATTTTTAAATATATATATATTTTTTTATGTAATCAAATAATATTTATTGTATTTCAGTTCAATTCATTTTTTTGCATTAAAAATGTGCATCATGTTACCCACCTTAATTCAAATTTAGGACATAAATTAGAATTGTAAAGACATTTTCAATTCAATCCTGAATGGCACACATGTCCAATTTTGGGTTAAAAAGGTCAAACATATCAGTACATACAGGTAGCGCACATTTTCTGTTTTCAAGTACATTGTGTTGAATTTTAAGTAGTGTAGGCTTCACAACAACTCTGTGACTGTTCTTGAATGGGCCAGCCAGAGCCCTGACTTAAACCCAATTGAGCATCTCTGGAGAGACCTAAAAATGGCTGTCC